AAGACACCGCTGCTCTTGAGCACTTTGGAGAGGTCCCTAACAGCAGACTTTCCCATGGCAATGCGCCTTTTAATTTCCTGGCTACTGGTGCCAAGAGTGTTGACCATGGAGCCGAGCAAACTGAAGCCGTGAACAATCTCAATCTCTTCGCCATCCATCCTGATGCTACCGATTGGTCCAGTGGTGAGAATCTTTGTCTTCTTGACATTGAGCCTCAGTCCATACTGAAGGCTGCAGTCCTTGACCCTCTGCAGTAAGTGCATGAGGTCCTCCTCAGTTTCAGCGAGCAGGGTTGCGTCATCTGCATAACGCAGATTGTTGATAGATCGTCCACCAATCCTAACACCATGCTTCTCCTCATAGAGCCCAGCCTCTCGGATAATCTGTTCTGCATACAGGTTGAAAAGGTATGGAGATAGGACACATCCCTGGCGTACACCCTTCCCAATTTTGAAACTCGACAGCACATAACAACAACAACAATTCTGGCTATTGCTTATCTAGAAGTTCAACCACAGGTGTGGCTTACTATGCAATAAAGGCCAGTCTCAAGGGTTCCACCAGTCTCTATCACACCTGTAAGCTCAGTGTTTTAGATGACTTTGACTTATGTTGCACATATGTCACTTATTCTACCAGGGACCTTCTATTGTTATAGCCAGGTTACTTTCAGTTCTTCTGGTCTTAAGGTCATGGAGACTAAAGTTCTCCAGATTCATTAGTCTTTTGGACTAATAGTCATCGATTTTTCTCTTTTTTTTTTGCTCTGGATGGAGAGATACCAATAGTTGCATCTTGTTTGTTGCTATTGTTAGATGCTGTAGAATTGGCTAAGACCCACAGCGACCCTATGAACACCAGATCAGAAACTTGTCCTGTCTTCCAACCTTCTTCACAATCTTTTATATGCTCAAATCCACTGTTACAGTCACTGTAACAATCCATCTTACTGAAAGTCTCTTTCTTTAATCTTTCCCAGTGTGATGTCCTTTTTCAAGGACTGGCCCTTCCTGACAATAGGTCCAAAGTATGTGAGACAAAGTTTCACCATCCTTGCCTCTAAGGAGCTACAGATTAGTCAACATACATATTCTGAGGGAACAAAATTAAATCTATAACAATCACTTTCAACCCAGAGAGATTATTTCTGTCTTTCTCCTTATGTATATGTTTTCTTTTTATAGGTTAAAAGCAACATAAGGTAGTGAGAAGTGTGATTTTTTAATATCAAGGGGAAAGGATCACTCAGTCATTTTTTCAGATCATATCTACTGAGTACTTACAGTATCAAAAGTTTTACCTGATCTAACTGACTTAAAGGAAGCTGAGTGGTCTAGTGGGTAAGGAATTACAATACCAAAGGCAGGGTATTTGAATCCACCAGCTGTTCCTTAGGGGGAAAATGAGCAATCTCCTCCTGTGTGACTTATAGCCTCAGAAAATTCTCTGGAGGGTTAGCTATAAGTTGGTTCCAACTGCATGGCATTGAGTGTTTTGCCTAACATCACACAGATGTGTTGTTGTTGTTGTTGTTATGTGCCATTGAGTCGCTTGCGACTCATAGCGACCCTATGTACAACAGCCCTAAACTCTGCTCTGTCCTGTGCCAATCACACTGTCTCTGACACTCCCATCCTAATTATCCCAGTCACCGAATCAATCCACCTCATAGAGGGCCTTCCTCTCCTGCGCTGTCCCTCCACCCTCCCAAGCATGATGTCCCTCTCCAAGGACCAGTCTCTCCTCACAACTTGTCCAAAGTATGTTAGATGGAGCCTCAGAATCCTTGGAGGCAAGGAGCCACCCGGTTTAACCCTTTCCAGGACAAATCTGTTTGTTTTCCTAGCAGTCCATGGTATTCTCAATACTCTTCTCCAGCACCACAGCTCAAAGGCATCAATTCTCCTTCTATCCTCCTTGGTCATTGTCCAACTTTCTGATGCATAACAAGTGATTGCGAAGACCATGGCCTGTATCAGACGCACCTTAGTCTCCAGAGAAACACCATTGCTCTTCAGCACTTTGGAGAGGTCCCTAACAGCAGACTTTCCCATGGCAATGCGCCTTTTAATTTCCTGGCTGCTGGTGCCAAGACTGTTGACTGTGGAGCCAAGCAAACTAAAGCTGTGTACAATCTCAATCTCTTCACCATCCATCCTGATGCTGCCAATTGGGCCAGTGGTGAGAATCTTTGTCTTCTTGACATTGAGCCTCAATCCATATTGTAGGCTGCTGTCCTTGACACTCTGCAGCAGGCGCTTCAGGTCCTCTTCAGTTTCAGCAAGCAGGGTTGTGTCATCACACAGATACCAGAAGAAAAACTCTAATCTTGCTCAGACTCTGAAGCCCACACACTGAACCCCTATATCACCCCTGTTTTGTACTCCTCACTATGGCTCCTTGATGGAGATTCTGAGCCTCTCTGCAAAGGGGAAACAATCCTCAGAGTTGTTTTAAGCATCAGCAATCATATGTTAAACGTGACGTGGCACACACACAGTAGATGTCTCAACAAAAAGTGACTGTTTACTATTTGAAACTGAATTTTTATTCTAGACATGTTGAATCTGTGGTGAGAATGGAGCCTCCACGTGAAGTCAGAGTTGCAAGTGCTATAAATGTTTAGGCACTGCGACAATAAAGGGCCCTGCCTAGCCTCTGATTCCTCTCTGCCGCCCTTGCCACATGACCCAACAAGTTAGTTCACCTGAGCCTGTTTTCTCATCTGTTAAATGGGGATAAAAATAGTACCCACTTCCTCAGGCTTGTTTTGAGTAAAAAATGGAGTGTGAGAATTGCTTAGAAACAAGGATTTGGGGCAATACCAGTGCTCAATAAATGCAGGATTTTATGTCTCAAACACATACAAAATGCCCATAAGGTTATATTTTGTGTTCAGATCTTTGAATGTTTAAGCTGTTTGGGAAGCTCTGATGGCTTAGTGCTAAGAAGGTGCACTGCCAACACAAAGGTATAAAGTGTGAATCCACTAGCTGCTCCATGGAAGACAGATGGCAATCTCCTCTCATGAAATTTACAGCCTCTGAAAACCCACTGTTGTTGTTAATCATCAAGTCAGAATTGACTCATAGCAGACCCTCCAGCAGGTTTTCAGAGACAATTGCTTGGGAGGAGATTGCCCATCTACCTCCCGCATATCAGCTGGTGGATTTGAAACACGTGCCTTAGAGACTGAAGCGGAACCTTATCTGCAGGTCTCCAGAGCTTCCTTGAAACTCCACTAGAGGGTTAACTATGAGTTAGTTCCAACTCAACAGCACATAACAACATTAAGGGTAAAGTGGGAGAAACACAGCACTACACTTCACTCCTGGGAATAGCACATTTGCTTCTTTCCCAGCATACTATCATTGCCTGATAGCCAATACTCTGCCAGGAGTTCTGGAAGAATCAGACAACCCAAAGGCTGGGACTCACAGACCCCATATTCCTACTCATCACCCACCATGTGTAAAGCTGGAGGACCTTGCCACCTAACAAAGTAAAGATTCCAAGAGTTGGCTACAGAACAAGCAAAAGCTGCCCGAGATACCGAGAAAAGCAGAGCTGAGAAATCTAGAAAATGACGGTGTGGAAGATGTTAGAGCATTAGAATATTGTTCTGATATTGTAAGTGGAGCTTGGCTTCAGGAATTCCATGTTTGAAAGGCATTGACTCAGTTACTTCAGTTAACTGGATAGAGCCTTTAATCTAAAGGCAAACTTAAGATGGCAAATTCCACTGGGGGTTGGGGGGGGGGGGGGGGAAGTGACCAGATCTTGACCAGGAAAGGAGAGGGAATCTGAAGGCTATCAAGGGAGCCACGAGCAAAGCGCAGGGATTAACGCAGGGATTTGCTTTTACAGGTAGGAAATGTAAACATTAACACAAGATGAGCAAAGGCCTCAAACAACAGGGAATCACTGTGGGTCAAGCAGGGACACATGGATTCTGGAAAGTGCCTAACAGTTTTCCCATTGTGTCAGAAGGAAGGTGACACTGGAACAGGTATCCAGGATTCCCGTAAGAAAGGTTCTCCACCAGCAGAGAAATGGAAATTATTTCCAAGGGCTGGAGACCAACAACGGGGTTATTCGCATCTGGCTTTCCCGGGTTTCTCAACCGCTCCCTCAGCGCGGCAGGCCTGAGGCAGGAAATGCAGCCCAGGACAGGAAAGGGAGGCTGGAGGCGGCGACCCCACAACACGGGACCCTTGCTTGCCCATCTTCTCCATAGCGTCCCAGCCACGTCCCGGCCCCCAGGGGTCGTGGTGCCCTTTGGGGCCAAGGGGGTCCCTCACAGGGCAGGGCTCGGTGGGGCAGCGTGGAGCAGCTGCGAAGGGGACTAGCCTGGGATGGGGGGCACCCGCAGGGCTCGGGCAGGGGGTCCCCCTCGCGCACCAGGCCGGGAGGAGGGGTGAGGCCGGTCGGAAGCTTGGCTTGGGAGGCCGGGCTGACGCTCATCGGGCGGGGCGGGGCCGGCGGCGCAGGAGTTAATGCTCGGCCCCGCCTCCGTCCCACAGACTCAGTTTCACCAAAAACTTCCGAGAGCAGGCGGCTGATCCCCAGCGCACCCGACCCCGGTTCGGAAGCGGCTGCCGGCCGCGCAGGAAGCCGGGCGCGGACGTCGGCGGCCCCGGCCCCACCCGCTCACCTGCGCAGGTAACCTGGGCCCCGGAGCGCGGAGCGGAGCGGGCGCGGAGCATGTTTGGCCTTTTGTTCTGCGTTCGTGCGCTTGTCCCGGTACGTGAGTTTCTCAGCCGTCCCTGTGAATATCGCGGGGCGGTTGGTCACGGGGTTGTGCGTGGAAGAACCGCGAACCCCACTTCCCTGGTGAGCCCTTCTCACTTCCTCCCCGCCGACCCGCCTTTCTCCAGGTCTTGACCAGGTGTGTCTCTGTTCCTTCCCCTCCCTCAGGCCTCGAGCACTGTCGGAGTCCAGAGGCCGGCCGTGTGACGGTGCTCCGCTGTCGGAGGAGGGCCCGGGGCCCCGGGAGGACGATGGCCGGCGCCCGCCTCGCCCAGGTCCGCATCGCCCCCGCCGCGCTCTGGCTCCTGTGCGCGCTCAGCATTCCGGGCGCCGCCGCTGGGCCGCCGCCGCCCTTGCCGTCCGGGGGAGCCACTTGTCTGGACCTCTTCACTGCCGGAGTACCTGCCTTCGTGCTGGACATCGAGGCCTCGGTCAGCAACGGGGCCACCTTCCTGGGTTCCCCCGCCGTGCGTCGAGACTGGGACTGCGTCCGCTCCTGCTGCTCCACGCACGACTGCAACCTGGCGTTGGTGGAGCTGCGGCCCAACGGCCTGGAGGATGACACCCCTTCCTGCTTCCTCATGAACTGCCTCTACGAGCAGAACTTCGTGTGCAAATTCGCGCGCAGGGAAGGCTTCATCAACTATCTCACGCGGAAGGTTTACAGCTCCTACCGGGAGCTTCAAACCCACGGCTTTGAAGGTGAGGCACAGGGTGCTGGGAAGGGTGGATTTGGAGAGATTCAAATAAGGAACAGTGAGCTTGGGAAAGGAGTGGGAGAGTCCAGGCCCCCCTAGTTCTTCCGCAGAAGTAGGCAGTATGAATAATAAGTAAAAGAAAGGGATGTGCTTGAAAGGGTGACATCTTCCAGTTCAGGCTCCAGGATGTTCAGAGGTGTTGGATGAAAGAAGACCTTCAGCTATAGGGTGTGTGGACTACCCAGGATTCCTGACTTCTGGTCTGGAAGGGCCAAGCCAGGGAGTGAGCTGCCTGGTGACTTAGAAAGGTGCCTCTGGCCAGCACTGTCTTGGGTACTTTGAAGTCCCCATCACTAGCTGCCATGGACTGGTTAGCATCTCTGCTCCCCCCACCCTTTCAGAATACATTCAGACTACCCTGAGGTGTTCTGGGAAAGACAACCAAACCCTAGAGACTAAAAAGTAAACCTGGTCTGAGGATGACCCAAATCTGAGAGAGTGGAGGGGGATCGTGTGGGTGCAGTAATCTAGAGGCTCTGGGGTGGGGAGTGAGGAGGGTTACAGATGAGTCAGCTCACTTGGTATGTGTATCTGCTATGGGAGGGATGTCAGCTGTCCCAGCAGGTTGTGTGCGCTTGCGTGTGTGGACCCAGCTGACTTCTAGAATGAGCCAGGCAGGACTCTCCTTGCTTAGGATCTGGTAGGCAAGCTGCCCACTCATCTTGTTTACTTCCAGGGATAAAGGTTCAAAGTGGGAGCCAGGGCCCTCCAGAGACCTTTGCTCCCCATTCTCTTTTTTACCTGCTGTTGTGACCAGGTGGGGCTCCAGCGCAAAGCAGGTCTCATCTGTTAACTTCAATCTGCACTTTACAGTTTATTGAGTGCTGGCTCACTCATTCGCTCGCTTAGGCCTCGTGACAGTATGAAAGTGCTATTTGTGATCATCCCACTTTCTCAATCCGGAAACTGGGCCTTGTCTTATGAAATAATTTGCCCAGGACAACATGCCCATAAATCGTAGGCTCAGGACTCCAACCCAGGGACACTTCCAAGAAACTTAGACTGTTTTTACATATCTCTTTTGGTAAGGAGTCGTACTGCCAACCAGAGGGTTTGCGGTTTAAATCTACCAGCTCTCTGTGGGAGAAAAATGGGCATTCTCCTCCTGTGTGATTCACTGCCTCTGAAAAACCATTAGAGGGTCTGCTATGAGTGGATTCTGACTCCACAGTACATAACAACAACAACAACCCTTTTCTGAGTAGAAACCCAATACTGATTTTCAACAACCTATTACAAAGTAAGGCAAGAAGACCCAGCTTGGTGGGCCAATACTGGGCTGGGACCAAGTCTAAGTGGTCTGTTTTGCAAAGGGGGGACAGGACCCTTCTATCAACTCTGACCTTTTCCTGGACCAGTTTTCCCCCCTACCCCCACCCCAGGGTGAGAAGCAGGGACCACCAACTCTGGCCCAGGCTGGGCCCTGAACCCCATTGGTCCAAGACCAAAGCCTGTTCCTCAGGAAGTAGCAGATAGCGTAGGTGGTAATGAGTTTAATTGGCCTTCATTACCAGTGGCCTTCCTGCTCTTACAGAGGCCCCATAGGAGTACTAAACTCTAGGGTCTAGTCAGGGAGCTAGATCCACTTCGGCTCACATGGCCTTGGGAACCACCTCCCGCACATGGAAATCCCCAGGACTGTCCTGTTTGGCACAGGAAGTTGGAGTGGAAATGTCCCGGGGCCCTGAACCCTGTTTTGTAGTATGGAAGAAGCTCCGTGTGTGTTAAGGGTTCATTCTCAACCAGGTTCACCTAGAGAGGCTGGACATAGCGAAGGCCAGGGTAAAGCCATTAGGATCTTCTTAGAGGCTGGGGGCTGGGTGGGGCAAGGCAGGCAGGGGGAGGCATTGGTTCCTGTGTTGGGTAGGCCCGGAAGGGTAAATTTGTTCCCTTTTTTCTGCCTGTGGCCAAGCCAGTTCAGCCCAGATTCCTGAGGCAGGAGGCTGGAGGAGCTTGCTCCTTTCCCCTCACCCCTCCTATCTGGCCCTCCCCTCCCTGCTCTTTCTTTTGGAGGAGTGGCATTAGGAGGTGGAGTCTTTGTTTCCTTGGAGATGTTCTAAGGTCTAGCTGCTGGGGGTGGGGGTGGCTTTATTGTCATTGTGCCCTTTACTCCCTTGGAGGCTGGGAAGGAGTTGTAGGGCAGGGCACCTGCCCCTTGGTCATTGATGTGGGGTGGTTGTTTTGAGAGGACAGGAGTGTGAGGGGGGGAGGTGAGGCCTTTCAGATTCATCAAGTTCTGTTACATCCTCCTTCCACCCTGGGAGCCTGGGGTGTCTAGCTTTGTGATAAGTAGGAGTTTTTCAGTAAGGATAGTATTTCCTGAAAAATATAAAGAAAAAGGTAAGGAGTCCTCCTGGCTCAGTGACCCCTTGTAGTGACCTCTTGGCTTTGTTTCTTTGAGGATCCTCTTAGCTCCACCTCACCTGTACCAGCCTAACCACTGAGTTGGACTGAGACAAGCACTTTCTTTTCCCACATTTCCTGTCCATTCTCAAACTCCTGAAACCCAGTTCCCCTTTTACAGTTTTGTAGGCCTTCCTCTCTACCAGGATCCTTGAATGGCACAAATGTTTAAGCACTTAACTATTAGCCAAAAGGTTAGGTTACCTACCAAGAGGCACCTCAGAAGATCGATCTGGCCATCTGCTTCTGAAAGGCCACATCATTGAACACCTGATGGAGTTGTTCCACTCTACACGTGTGGGGTTGCCATGAGTCAGAATGAGGAAGATAACAACAGTAACCCTCTCTACCATTTAGTGTATTTCCATATGGTAATTCTCTCCTTTCTTCACTTTGCTGTCACTGTGTGTCCAATCTCTGTGACTGAGTTGCCAACTGGCTCTGCTTTCCTGTCTCATCAAAGAGGAATCCCTGTGACTCAGCTCCTGTTCTTACTTCTTTACCTTCTCTTCTTACTGTGTGCTCACTTTTGTTGTTGTTGTGTACCACTGAGTCAGCTCCTGCTGGCCCAGGAGGAGATTGCCCCTCCTTCTCCAGTGGAGCATCTGGTGGATTCAAACAGCACACCTTTGGGATTGCAGCACAGCTTCTTGCCACTAGGTCAGTAGAGCTCCCCTAAAATGTTAATGTGGCAACAATCAAAAGGAAACTATTGTGAAGGAATAATTTCCAATATATTAAAGTAGAAGCTTTGGTGGCCTCTTGGATAGGAAGTTATACGCCAACCCAAAGGTGGTGGTGGTTATTATGTGCCGTTGAGTCACCTGTGACTCATAGTGACCCTTTGTATACTAACTCTGAATCCTGCCCTATCCTGAGCCAGTCTCCTCATCTCCGACAGACCTAATCCCATTTCTCCAGTCACCAAGTCAGACCATCTCTTCCCCTCTCCTGTGCTGTCCCTCCACCCTTTCCAGCACGATGTCCCTTTCCAAGAGCTGGTCCCTCCTGGCCACGTGCTTAAAATATGTGAGACAGAGCTTCAAAATCCTTGCTCCCAGGTAACAGCCTGTTAAAATTCATCAGCAAGGGAAAGATGGGCAGTCTTCTCCCATGTGGTTTATAGCCTTTGAAAACCAATTGGAGGGTCCGCTATGAGTTAATTTCAACTGGATGACATTGAGTTTGAGTTTGATTAAAAGAAAAACAGTTAAGAACTGGCATGCTTGTGAGTTCAAAAGCACACTCACACACACAGTGAAAGTCAATAAATCTGGGGAGAGAACCTGACATGACTGGCTAAGAAGATGGGACTATCATCTCACCCCAGTCAGAATAGCAAAATTTAACAGAACAGCAAGCAACAAATGCTGGTGAGGATGTGGAGAAACTGGAACCCTTACTCACTGTTGGTGGAAGTGTTGTAAATGGTATGGTGCAACCACTGTGGAAGGCAGTATGGTGCTTTCTCAAAAAGTTGCAAATAGAGATACCACTTGACCCAGCAATTTACCTACTGGTAATGTACCTTAAAGAGACCATAACTGACATCCAAGCAGATATATGCACACCCATGTTCAACGAGGCTTTGTTCACAATAGCAGTGAGTTGGAAACAACCCAGGTGCCCATCAACAAACAAATGGATAAAGAAGCTGTGGTATATTCGCATAATGGAAGACTATGCTGCAATGAAAAACAAGGAACTTATACAATATTCAAATTGGGTGACTCTGGAGGATATTATGCTGAGTGAAATATCTCAGTCACAAAAGGACAAATACTGCATGGTGCCACTGTTGTAGAAAGTGACTGACATCAGGGTTGGGGTAAGACTGAGAAAAACTAGATAGATTATGTATACTGAATTGAAACAGATGAGGGAGAGAACCGTTTAAAAGTGATATATGATAGCATATTATGATTATC